TTGTGGCAGCAACAACGACAGTCGGAAATAATGCACGTTTTTGGCGACGACAACCCCTGCTGTCACAAATAAAGCCATTGTTTGCGACCACAATCCCCCCGTCGCAAATACAAAATTAGTTAAATGACGTCGTTTTATTCTTTAAATTTTAATTTGTGACGGTGAAACTTGACGTCGCAAAAAAAAAAAAAAATCTGAACTCATCTTTTTTTGCCCTTCGCGCTTGTTTTTCCACCCTTCAACCAAAAATTCCCAGTCTCAAAAATCCCTAACCTTTTGAACCAAAAACCCTGTCTCTCTCTTCTCACGACTCTCTCTCTCTCTCTCTCTCTCTCTCTCGACTGTGAGTAGCAGTAAATGACGGCGAGCATTGAATCAACGGTGTCGAGCGACGGCAGCGAGCAGCGTGAGACAGCATCAAGCAGCGTGCGACGGCAGCGAACAGTGTGCAACGGCGGATTTCTTGGGTTCCCAGTCGCAGCATCATCCAAGCCATCCATTCGACCTACATCCCTCATCATTAGTACTAATAAGACATTTCGGATTCATTGCCAAGACCAAGCCATTGCGCCCTTGGAACAGCGGTGGATGTTTGACGAATCTATTGCCAAAGGCCCAATAAACTCTCTCTCTCTCTCTCTGAGTGTGGTCTATTTTATGCTTTGTTTGGTTGCTGGAAAAATGCAGGAACAAAAAAGAAACTAACTTTACAGTGTGATTATGTCATTGTTTTCTAATATGCTCGTTTGGTTACTGAGAAAGTGTAGGAAACGAGAAGAACATTAATAAATTCGAAATTTAGATATTTCATTGGTAGAGAATCTTGAGGAAAAAAAAAACGAAAAGAAAGAAATCTCACTGAGCTTGTTGAACTCAATTCCCCAATTCTTGAAAACCAGGTATCTAGAACTTCAAGTCCCAAAATTCCCCCATCCCCAAAAGAAACGTTCAGAACCATCCATTGCAGGCCAAGTTAGTGATAATTATGATTTTAATTCGTTGGGCTTCATGATAATATCATATGTGAATCGAAAAAATAAAAAATAAAACTTAAGAAGAAGAAGAAGAAGAAGAAGAAAAAGAAGACTCAAATAACTTGTTTAAGCTTACTGTGCTAAGCTTAACTCTGTGGAATAATTGGAGTCACATTGTGGTGCCGAAATGGTGGTTCCAAATTGGGTTAAACAGCAGCATTGCAAAGCTTGAAATGAGGTCTTTTGTTGCTGGAAAAGCATTGATTTGATGGTCATTGGTACAATCCTTTGTTTGGGCAGTGTTGATGAGTTACATAAAGTGGGCTTGACAGCTGCATCACATTTCATGCTGTTGCCCAGATAACTCATGTTATCTTTTTTTTTTTTTTTTGAGTGTGCATGTGTTTTTTAAAACTGCTGGGGACTGGGCTTATGCACGCTTTCTGTGGTGCAAGGAAGATGTGAACTATGAACTACTATTTTACTATTATCTATCTGCTGGTGTGCACACCCTCTCTTTAGAAAATGGATGGAAAGAAGGGTTAAGTTTTGGAGAAAATGGATGGAACCAATAGTTAAGTTTTGATACATTACCCTTGCTGTGATATATGGTCATGCTAGCCAACAATGCTACGTATTTGCTATTTTTTTTTTTCCCTTTTCCCATGTGTTCCCCTCCATGACCACCATATTATTTTTTGTTCTTCACAGTGGCAATTCTTGTAAACTGCAATTTCTGGGTTCTAATATTTGTTTGGACTTCTTGAAAAAGATGGCTTATATTTTTTATTTTGTTGATTCAATCGTGGATTATATTGCTATATTGTGTTACACACACAGTCAACTCTACTAGACTTCGTGGCCAAAATATTCAGAATGGAACCTGGATTTTGTTTATTTATTTATTTTGGGTTAATGGAACCTGGATATAATGTACGTGTTTATTTTTGGTTGATGGAACCTGAATGTCCTGTTTACTGTTAGTTGTAATTTGCTTTAGGATTTATATGTTAATTTGTCAATGTAACCCTTTTCTAAGTTTTTTAATCTTCAGTTCCCTCAAATTGGCAGGAAAAATTGGAGTATATTCAAATGGATCAGCGTGAATACACAATGGATGATGAGGACAGGAAGGTGCAGGATGTGATCCTCAGACCAGATCCCTCAAATAATGACACCATGGTCTTGAAGAAAACTCTATCTTGTTCCTACCCAAACTTGCCTTTTAATGAGGCACTTTAAAAAGAAAATGAAAAGCTTCAGTTAGAACTACAACCTCACAAGCCAATTTGGATGTGGGCCAATGCGAAGTAATTCAGCATCTGATTGACGTCACAAAGGTTGTTGCTGCAAATTCTCAGTCTGAGAAGAGTTCGCCCAGGAGAAATTCCAAAAAAGGTAGAGCTGAATTATTCTGATGTTAATAATGATAAGGAACATTCATATGATGAAAGCTGTGCTAACAAAAGTGCGAGTCACTCAACTTTGAGCTTTATTTTCTCTTTTGTATAAGATGGTGAATTTAAATTCTAATTGCTTAAAATACACCTTCTATAGTGTCAAACGACTTGTATTGTCTCATTGCCTGTCAAACCACTACATAAGTAACATTACATTTCATCCCCTTCACTTCAATAAATATACAAAAAGTCTCAGCGTGATTTTGACTTTTTAACTCTATGCTCTATTTTATTAAAAAATTCATCCAAACTAACGAAAAGTGATTTAATATACACTTTCTAACAAAGTCAAAAGTACACTTTCAAAACAAAAACATAAAAATTCAGTTTCTTTATTTTTTTCCCCATCTAAAATCCTACACATTATTATAAATAATTAAAAATCAAGTCAATTATACACACTACAAGAAAATACAGTTTTGTTGACCACTTTTGCCGATTAAAAATATTTTAGTCGCTATGTAGATAGTTTTGCCAGCTAAAATAATATAGTCGCGGAATCAAAAATAAAAATTTACTTTTTATCTTTGACGACCAAAAGTTTGGTCGGCAAAAATTTATTTTTAGTGACTAAAAAATATTTTAGTCACTGTATAGATAGTTTTGCCAACTAAAATAATATAGTCGCGGAATCAAAAATAAAAATTTACTTCTTATCTTTGGCGACCAAAAGTTTGGTCGGCAAAAATTAAATTTCAACGACTAAAATATATTTTAGTCGCTGTATAGATAGTTTTGGCAACTAAAATTATTTAGTCGCCGAATGAAAAATGAAAATTTACTTTTTATCTTTGGCGACCAAAAGTTTGGTCGCCAAAAATTTATTTTCAGCAACTAATAAATATTTTAGTCGTTGTATAGTTACTTTTGGCTACTAAATTTATTTAGTCGCTGAATGGAAAACAAAAATTTACTTTTATTTTTGGCGACTAAAAGTTTGGTCGGTAAAAATTTATTTTCAGCAACTAAATAAATTTTAGTCGTCATATACCAACTTTTTCCGACTAAAAGAAATTTAGTCGCCAAATATCTAGTATAATTTTATTTTTAATCTTTGGTAACTACCTCATTTGGTCGGCAAATATACATTTTTGGCGACTAAAACACATTTAGTCAGCCATAAAACTCAATGTTCTTTGTGGGAACACATACTGTCCAATTTGAGTTCATGTTTAATTTTTTTTTGTCTCTCACTCTCTATCTCTTTCTCTCTTTGTCTCTCTCTCTCTTCTCTTTCTCTCTCTTACTCATCACTCTTTTCTGTCTGTCTATCTGTCTTTGTCTCTGTCTCTTTCTCTATTTGTCTCTTGCTCATCTCTCTTCTCTCTATCTCTCTTCTTTCTCTATCTCTATCTCTCTTGCTCATCTCTCTATCTCTGTCTCTGTCTCTGTCTCTCTCTCTCTCTCTCTCTCTCTCTCTCTCTCTCTTTTTCTATGTCTTTCTCTCGATTATCTCTTTTTGCTCTCTTTCTCTCTCTCTCTCTTTGTCTATCTCTCGCTCATCTTTTGTTTCTCTCTCTTTTTCTGTCTGTCTGTCTGTCTTTCTATCTCTCTCTCTATATATATATATATACCTCTTTCTCTCTCTGTCACTCTCTCACTCATTACTCTTCTCTCTCTCTGTATCTGTCTGTCTGTCTGTCTCTCTCCCCCATTGTGTTCATCTTGCTCATTCTCTCTCTCCGCTCTTCTCTATTTATCAAGCTCTCCACTACAAGAAAATGCACTTTTAGCGACCATTTTGTCTCTCTCTCTCTCTCTCTCTCTCTCTCTCTCTCTCGTTCATCACTCTGTCTCTCTATCTCTCTTCTCTATCTGTCTCTCACTCATCTCTCTCTCACCACTCATCTCCTCTACCACCTTCACCACCACTGCAAATGGCATTCCACTACCACCATTATTACCACTGTTGCCACTCCATCTCTACAACTACCATTACTACCACCATCGCTACCACTCCACTACCACCACTGCTACCACCACCACCACTACTACTACTACTACTACTACTACTACTACTACTACTACTACTACTACTACTATTACCTTTCCTCCACCACCGCTACTCCATCTCCTCTATCATGACCACAACTTCACCACTAATCTCCTTCGCCATCACCACCACCACCACCATCACCTCACCTCTTATCCACCACCTTCACCACTACTGTCGATCCCTCTCCTCTACCACAAAAAATTAGCTCTTGATTTTTAGTAACAAAAAAAAAAGGGGTCACAATAAATATTTTTCATCGACAATAAAAAATTAACTTTATTTTAACGAAAAATATTTTTCATTAAAATATTACCTCTACTTCTATCAAATAAAAAAAATAATTAAAATAAAAATAAAACTATTTCCCCCCCCCCCAAAAAAAAATGGGTCACAAAAAATATTTTTCATTAAAATATTATCCCTACTTCTATCAAATAAAAAAATTTAATTAAAATAAAAATAAAACTATTTCCCCCCTTCTCTTTTTCCGCCCGCCCAAGCTTAATTTCCCTCTTTTTTTTCCCTCTGCTTTTTCCCTCCAGTTTTTTTCATTTCCTTTCAGGTTTGTAAAATAGTGAACAAACCTTAATCTGAGAGAGAGAAGATAGAGGGTTTGAAGAGAGACTGGGGTTGAAGGGGAAGGGTTTCAGTCAACGACGAGACTAGTTCAGCAGCAGCGAGACGGTACGCTTCTTTTGACTCTTCTTTCGACTCTCTCATTCCAGTCGGTTCCTCTAACGACTGGGTTGAAATGGTTCCTCTATATCTCTATGTGACTGTGTATCCTTGGAACAACAATGATGTAGTTTTATAATCCGAACAGATCTTAAACCCTATCAAGCTTTTGACTTGATACATTGTTCAAGATGTAGAATTAATTGGACTCGTGATGGTATGCTATTCTCTCTCATAATTTAATTTATTATCTTTGTTGGGTAGAAAATGATTTAGTGAACAACTAATTAGGCATCAGAGTATATATTGGAAGTGTTGCACCTCCTATCGCTTCCTTGCAGAATTTCTCTCAAAGGTTAAATAAAATTTTCATGCCAAATATGTTTCTCATTAACTTCTTGTATTGTTGATATGGGTAATGGAGCCACCACCTGCATAAAGATTGATGACTTTGTCAGTCTCAAACTGGTAAGTGAATGTCTGATATGAGATCCCAATTCTCTATGTTCCATCAGTTCTTTCCTGAAGTGGATCGTTGATCACCGTGGGATTTCCATACCTTCAAACTTTTAGTTGAAAAAATTATAACCATCGAATAGGTTTTTATGCTAAGAAATGTAATTTATGACAATTTTTCATTTATTGTCGACACTCTGATTCCGTGTATTTGTTAGTTGTTGGCTTTAATGAAAGTTCCACCAGGTTTTGTTTTGACATGTGAAGAGCTTTGCCTCGACAATCACTTAGTATATGTATGTGTGTCTATGTATTGTGTTGTAGCCTAATTTCTCATTTCACACTTCCAATTGATAAGAGATAAAGTAGTTTAAAAGGCAATTAAGCATTTTTATTTACCATATGATTCATATCTGCAAGTTTATGAGGCCAATGTGTAATCATTCTTGTTTATGCATTATAATTTATAATCTAGTTGTTCCATGTCGTCTATCCTCACTATTTTCCATGTGGCATATCATTATCATTGTGGAAATCTGTTATCTGGAAAGAGTAGTAGATATTATATGGGAAAATTGTTGATGTTCATTTGTGGGACATATTCTTATCATGCCTCTGTTTGTTTCTTTCATTGTGGCAAAGATGGAATTTTGCTGCTCGAGGTCAACAGGATGCTACGTGCAAGAGGATACTTTGCTTGGGCAGCACAGCCTGTTTATAAGCATGAATTAGCCCTTGAAGAGCAGTGGTAAGGTATGAGTAAGCAGAATTTGTTTATAAAATAAGATTAACAGTTATTTTCACTTTAGTGAGTCGATAAGAATTTTTGAGTTTGAGTTTTGAATGTTTGCACAGCTTTCTGTTATACCCTTATATGAAGAATTGTGCACCTTAGTTTGCATTTGATCTCCTTGTTGAATCCCAATTGCTTACAGAGTGACTTCTGCAATTGTTTATAACTTAGAGAAAATTAAGGAATCTGAATTTGGTAACTACCCCAGCTTGGAGAACAAAAAATTTGCAAACTGGTTATGGTACTTAGATAAAATGGCAGGGAAAGGTCCTAAAGCATGTAATATGTTAGTTCATCTGGGTGCCCCATAATTTGTTTAATGAAGGTCAATCTTCCAGTGCACCCAAATGAAGTGTTTCCATTGCATTTTATTGATGGTCTAAATAAGAGTAACATGTGCAGCACATCAGACAAGAAGTTCAGTTTACTGATCGTTTGTCTTCCTTCATCTTCAGAGATGATTAATCTTACAAGCCACCTTTGTTGGAATCTTGTGAAGGAGGGGTATATTGCAATTTGGCAGAAGCCCTTGAACAACAGTTGCTACTTAAGTCGTGAGGCAGGAACGCGACCTCCGCTGTGTGATTCAGATGATGATCCAGACAATGTTTGGTATATTAACTATCCTCTTTCTGGTATATTTTGGTGATTCAAATAGTACATTAAACTGCCTTGAATGGTTAAAGTTTTAGATCTCTATTTGACAACTGCTATGTCCGTAAGGCTTCTGAAGCATATTCAGTAGTATGACATGTTAACTTCATGCATTGTAGGCCTACAGCTACTGTAATTTATGTGTGACCATTGACATGAAATATTGAGAAGCTTTATGTTTAGACCATTCGCAGTAAAAAATGGGACTGTAAACCCTATTGACTTTAAGCACTTGGCCTAGTAATGACATGTACCCTAGTAATGACTATAAAGCCTAGTAATGACATGGTTCCCTATGACTTTTTCTCATCCTGCCTTATCATGTCTTTTGGTGTTGTGGTCTTATCATGTGATGCATCAACCACTTTATCTCCCTGGTCAAGAATTTGAAAAGTAAAAAATTGTTTCTTTTTTTTTTAATACTATACTTTATATATACCCTTACAAGTTACAAGTTATATAGATGATTTAGCTTCTAAAAATTGATTTTATGTGATTGTGTGCTTATTGATCCACAAAAAATATATATGTTGATTCGATTTTGTTTATGCAGATATTTGATTTGTTTGATGTGAAATGCAATGGGGTTAGGAGAATTTGTTAATTCATTAGGCATTTTTCATCCAAATGCACCTGTAGCAGACATAAATGAAGGACTCTGTATAGCCCTAAATAGATAAGAATAACTGTTTTAATCTCAAGTTGAATCAGTTTTGCAGTC